GGGGAGTGACAGGCTCTCGCCGGAGACCAGGTTCTTCCGCCAGATGAACGTCTTGAGGCCGAAGGGGGTAGGGGACGGGGTGACGGATGACGACTGGCAAACGTAGGGCATGGAGCAGCGACTGATTTCCAGCTGCTGGAGCGAAGGGGTTCGCGAGGTATTGAAGTAGGTCGTCACCTGTGGCCACATGAAAGGACAAAGGCAATGAGAACACTCCTCCCTCGTTGCCTGAGCGTTTCGCCTCTCTCACCTGGACGAAGTGGCTGATGGTCACCGACTGGAGCTGCCTGCCCACATCGCTGCCAATGATGACCGCCCGAAGCACGGCCGTCGCCACAGCGGGGTACACCCTCTCATCAGGGTCCAGCACAAACGACCCGAAAGTCGACTGCGCCCACGGCGACTCACGGATGACCGTCCAAGGGTCATAACCCTCAACACACGGCCCTTCGCTCCCAGTGGGCCAGGTCCCACTGGGTGAGGCGCTGGCGTAGAAGCCATCGGCGCCCAGCCCACTCCCCAGGTGCTGCCGGTAGGCTGGTGGTGGTTGTGGTGGTCGGTGGAGGCCTTGGCAGCTTCCTTCTGCGGAATGGCGGATTGACCAAAGAGCACAGCACAGCATAGCAGAGAGCATCAGTCAGTTGTGTCTTGTGTGCAGATGGATGTGTGTGCGATGTACGTACCTGGACGGCGTCGTATTTGAGCATCATCATCTTCATGTCCCGCCCCTCCTGCGTCGGCATGTATGGCAGCGGCATGTATGGCGGGACGTAGGGCGTGGGCATGGCCATGATGGTGGGGTCGCTGGTGGCCGCTGCTGGGGCGGGGGTCTGTGTGGGCTGCTGGTGGTGGGTGGTCTGCTGCTGGCTGGTGTGCTGTTGGTGGGTGGGGCTGAGCTTCTTGGCAGCGGCCTTGGCAGCTTTCTTCTGCAAAACGGTACCGCACAGCATAGCGCAGAGTATCACGTGTCTAGCTAGATGTGCGCATGATGTTGGTACCTTCTGCAGGTGCTCAATGTACTCGTCTTGCCTCACGCAAAATTTCCGCCCCTCCTGAGTGCCGCGCATGGACTCCATCCACTGAGCGAAGTCCTGCAGTGAGGAAACAAACAAATGAATGTCGTCGATGCCCCTGAGCCATTGCGCAATGCTGCATGCGCCTCCCTGCCCTCCTCACCTCAGGGTGGTCCTTTTTGATCCGAAGGACCTTCTTGGTGAAGGCGCGGCGGTCATCGGCATACACATCGGGCACGTCAGAACCCCTACTCAAGAGTTTTTGCCTAACGGCAGTGGCGTCTGGTGTGGCCTGCTGCTGCGTGTGCTGCTGCTGCTGGCGGGTGGTGCTGGCAGTGGCATCCTTGGCGGCCTTGGCGGCCTTCTGCAAAACGGCACCCCCCTGGAGTCGGTATAGACATCGGGGACGTCAATCCCCCTAGACATGAGGGTCTGCCTCATGGCAGCGGCGGCTGGCGTGCGTGTGGCCATCTTCCTCTGTCTCTCTATCTCTCTCTGCGAGCCTGGGTCACTGGATTTTCGTGCGTCAGCCGCCCTTCGTGGCTGCCGCACCTCCATTGGGCGACCCCTCCCACGGGTAATAGCAGGGCGGCTGCATCGGACATATCACACATAGCGAGTAAATCCCTGGTGCGTGCCTTCTCTCCCTCCCACCCAGTGGCACCCACGCCTACCAGGTCCTCGGGCACGAAGCCCTGGAGGTCCTCCTTCTCCTGCGCTATGGCGGCGTACGCGGCGTTGATGGCCTGCTGCTCCTCGATGGACCTTCTGCACATGCAATGCCATCCACCCAGAGAAATGGACGCACGGCAGGCATTTCATTCAGTGCATTTGACGCCACAATGCACTACGCTTCGTCCGCATTGTGTCGATTGCTTACGAGGGAGCGGCGGCGGTGCTGTCTCTTGACCTCTTCGAACGGGGCGTCGACGGGCAGGCCGAGGACGGCATAGTGGCCTTTAGTTTGGTGACGAACGGCGGGAAGGGCAGCTCGGCCTTGTTCTGAGGGGTCCAACGTGGTCGACCAGATGATGGCGACGCGTGCACATCCGAATCCACATCCTGCAACAGACCCACAACATTGTGTTGCGCTGTGCCATGGACACACAGACCCATTTCCCATGTGTCTCTCTCACCGCCTGTCGACGCTGTGCTGTATGTCACCTTGGTGCTGCCCTGCGGGCATGGCGTCTAATGCAGATGGGCTTTTTCTCTCGCAGCAGGGCCTTGCGTATAGACACACCAGAAGCATGAAATGCTCAGCTCCCCTGGCTCCTGTCGTAAAGGCGCAGCTCGCAGAAGGCGCAGCTGTTCACTCATGTTTCATTCATGTGCATCGGTGGCAGACGTTCTGCAGATCTCCTCCCAGACCCACCCACACCTACCAGCTCTTCGGTTTCGAAGTCCTTAAGGAGGTCCTCCATTTCTTGTGTGATGGTGGCGTAGGTATCATTCAACTCCTCCTGCTCCTCGGTGCTGCCGCCCTTATCAAAATCTGTTTTCAGCACATTGCGGGAGAATGCATTGTGCCCATTGCTTACCAGGGACAGGCGGCGGTAGTTGTATTTCACCACCCAGGGTCGCAACCTTCGTGCTGTATGTCGAGAAGGCCTCCACTGACGGCATGCCCAGCGCTGTCAAAGCCACACATGTCCCGCATATGCACAGCCGAAAGGTATGTCATATCTCTTGTGTCTTTCTACGCTCACCACGGTCGTGCCGGTCAGGAAATCCTGTCGTCAACGCTCAACGCCTTCGCTGCACAGCGACAGAGACAAATCAATTCATGAAATGCATTCAAGCACATGCGTAGCGTTCCCTTCGGCTGAAAGGTCATTAGCCAAGAGACACAGCAGAAAACAACAGTTTGTTCTCTTTTTTCTTTTTCTTCTTCTTCTTTGGGAAAACCTTTATTTGCTGGAGTCATTCTGCTTCTCAGAGGAGAAAACAAGGAATGGCAGAGCAGGAATCTGAATGTCGACACTCACACTCGAGTCACTGACCTTGAGGAAGTCGTCGAGAAAGAGAGACGGCCTTCAAAAGAATAATCACGCCATTCCACCTGCAGACAAAGGGAGGCACATGAGCACGTGTACGACAACGAAATGGGTCACACATTCATCGTGACATGCCATCCATCCATCGCACAATCACTACAGTCAAGAGACACAAGGCACGAGGCCACACACTCCCACCGAAATGGCTATCAGCTTCTTCGTCGCTGCCGCCTTCAGTCTCGCTCAGCGGCCCTAGTTCCCAGCCCGAGGGAAGAGGGACTGTGCCTGCCTGAAACCCCTCAATCAGCCTTGCTACACATGTCTTTGCTCTTGACTCCAGCACTATCTGCCTGAACTCATCTTTCCCTTCAAATTCTTCCTCATCATCGCTGGACAGCATATCCTCATCCTCGTCTTTGCCACTGGGCACAGGAAGGCCATCCTACAACACCGGCGCATGCAGCAGACACACGCATTATCACACCGCACCACCACACATTTGTACTGACCTGCTGGAGCCTCAGGTATTTTCGAAAGGAAGAAGGAAGGTGCCATCGCGCTCCGCCGACACCAGGCAGGCCGCCAGGGTAGATACCTGTCGAGGCCTTCGCGAAAGGGGAGGGTGGCCGCGAAAGGGTAAGGAGCACAAGAGCAGCGCCACACGGCCGTCTCCACACCACACAGCAGTCTCTCAGGTCAGGAGGAAAAGCTCCTGAGCATTGCTGTATGAGTCTACATTCCTTGCCTCTTCGGAGGTCTCTGGTGCACACTGTTCGCATTCGTCAGCCCCGACATGGAGCTGGTGGTTGTCAAGGTACGCACGAAGGCCACTCACCCAGACACACAAGGTCAGACGAGCCGCACAGACCACACCACGCCACCAAACAAAAATGTCACCATTTTGCCGTTTTTGACCGTGAATGTGACTTGCAGGGCATGGTTGATTGCCTTCCTGTGCTCATAGACCTATAGTAGAGGTATGTGTGGGTGCACGGGCGGGCCATGGAGTGACAAGCAGCTGGCCGCATGGATGGATGGATGGATGAATGATCGATTGTTGTGCGGGCGGGGTTGCCAGGTCGAAGGAAAAACTGCAGTTTTTCCTGGTCTGGGAGCCCCCCAGCCGCCAGGGTAGATACCTGTCGAGGCCTTCGCGAAAGGGGAGGGTGGCCGCGAAAGGGTAAGGAGCAAAAGAGCAGCGCCACACGGCCGTCTCCACACCACACAGCAGTCTCTCAGGTCAGGAGGAAAAGCTCCTGAGCATTGCTGTATGAGTCTACATTCCTTGCCTCTTCGGAGGTCTCTGGTGCACACTGTTCGCATTCGTCAATGTGGATTCATACACGCGTCCACTTATCATTTAAGCACAAATAGTGGTCTCAAAGCTTAGTATCAGCCATGCTGAAAGACATGGAGAAGAACAGCTCACTCTTTGGAGGCGCGCATACGTGTCGTACCGATCAGCTGTACCAACCGTTTGATAGGGGTGGCGGGCAGAAGGTGAGGCAGAAAGTCAGTGGGCATTCTTTTTCACGGGGGAAACTGTCATTAACCGTAACACTCGTCTGTGTGTCCGTGATACTCATACAAATACAGTCCCATCAGCACGCAGACTCAAACAGGCTCAAGGGGAGGAGGGATCAATCCCCGCCCCATCAGCACACCCCAGTCCCGCAAACCCTCCCCTCCCTCCCCCACGCAGACAGAAGCTAGTCGCACGCGCGAGGGCGATAGACAAGCGAGAGCGAATCCATCCAGACACATGACTGAACCCCCGACCCTTCCACCCCTCGTGGGCATTCTTTGAGGGAAAATGCCACACTGAACCAACACGGTCATCCATCCAGGCCATAAATCCCATCCATGCGCAGCCGAATATATATTGCACCTTGCAGGAGGGATAAATTCCGCAGCAATAGTCATCAGAACGCTGGTCCGGAGTGCCAAAGGAGCCCTGATCCACACTGCACGGACAGACGCAGAGACTGATCGATTGTTGTGCGGGCGAGGTTGCCAGGTCGAAGGAAAAACTGCGCGCGAAGCGCCCGCGGATGGAGGGTGGGCAGCCGGGGGGTGAACAGGGGGAGCGCCGCTTGCGACAGCAGGGGGCGGGGGAGCGCCACTTGCGACAGGGGGGGGCGGGTTGTGGGTGGGGGGAGGGGGTGCTCGGAGGCTGTCGGCGACCAGACGCCTGACTTGCAGCGTGGTGAGATACTGAGGGTCGACTGTGCCGTCGCAGTAGTGGCAGCGGCACGTCTGGTTGTGTGCGCCCCGAACACGCCTCCTGACGTCCTTCGCTCGCGAGCACGCTTGGATGGCCTGGTAGTCAGCATACCCGGGTTTGCCCGCTCTGGGCATCTGGCCGTTTGCGAAGTCGAAGAGGTTGTGGCCGTAGAAGTAGAGCTCGTAGAACAACTCCAGTTTCGACTTGGACGCGTTGGCTTCCCGCGGGATGCTGATCCGCCGGAAGTCGTCCCGCGACAGCCCATCCGCCGTGGTCCGCCACAGCTGGCCGGGTGCGGCAGGGCTCGGCCTCGTGGTGTCCCGACGAGTGGCCATATGGTGTGAACAAACAGTCGCCGAAGAAGACGACTCACTCACTCAAAAAGAACCTGCATGACATGACACCACACACCACACACCCCAGCGGCAGAAGGAGCGAATGAACGAGGAGTGCCCGCAGGCCCGCAGGCAGTGTCGTGAGGTGATCTGTACCTGCTGCTACTGGTCAGGGCGCTGCGATCATCGACGTGGGATGAGTCTGGAGCGAGAGAGCGGGGTCGCGGTGCACTGGGAGGGCAGGGCGAGGAGGGCTGGGTGTCCAGGGTGGCTCGGGCGGGTGCCCTGAGGCTCAGGGGAGGGCCGGCGCCGGGGCTGGGCGGTCGGAAGGGCCCGTCCCGGGAGGCCGGGAGGCCTGGCGAGCGTGGATCTCGGCGCACAGGCGGCGCGGGGGGGCGAGAGTCGGTGCGGGGAGAGAGGCGGTCCTAAGGCCAAGATTGGCCGCTCACTTTCTTGAATGGCTAGTCGCTTTGCTAGAGCGGGGCTGCGAGCTCAGAAAAGAAACCCGGCGGAAAGTGCCGACAGGGTACGGGTTCCGTCAGGCGCTCGGCAGAATCCGCGGCGCTGAGGTCTCCTTGCTGGGAAGGCAGGTGGACGAAAAAAGTGGCGGCCGACGTCGCGCAAGAGGGCCGGCGTTGGGATGGGATGAGGCAGGCTGCATACGACAAAGACCAGGCAAAAAGACAAGGATACGGAGGAGATGTGGCGGGAGGAAGGCAGAAGAGCCGTAGAATGCCCGAAATGCCTGGAAATTGTGTAGATGGTTCTTTTTCTCGTCCCGTCTCGCGCGCCGAGATTTTTTTCTGCGCGAGCTTTTTCGCCTTCTGCGAGCTTAGAAATGGTCTCCGACTGGCGTCCCCCGCGCTGCATTGGCTGCGAGGAGGACGGTCAGGTGCCTGATCTTTGAATTCGTTCATGAATCCGGATGGCTCGGCAGTGTGAGTTCTTCCTGGTCGCTCGGCAGAGAAAGTGCACGTTCCCGGCTGTCGAGGGAAGCGACTTTTGCTCTGTGCATCGCCCCGAAGACCGCATCCCGTGCCCTCTGGATCCCCGCCACTCCATCTTTGCTTCAAAGGCCGACAGCCATCTGCTTATCTGCACCCACACACGCGACCTGGCGTACGAGCTTTGCCTTCCCTGCATGAAGGACAACTGCAATGGCGGATCTGACGATGAAGCCGCCCTTTCTGACGACGACAAACTGCCTGGCCAACGGCAAGTGAATCACGCTGATGAATCCCGGGCTTTGTTTGGGAGCGAAAAGGAGGAGAGGGCGTTCGGGGAGAGGATTGATGTGGCTTATGAGAGGGCATGTGGCTTCATTGGCATTCCGCCGGAAGAGTTACTCTTGCCGCATGATCCTGGTCCGGCTCAGCGGGTGCTGAGCCGCCTTTCATTGACGCGGCAGCCACACGATGGCGCAGCATCCTCATCAGTGCTGCAAGGGTGGCTTGATACGCTGAGCGATGATGAGGTCATTCATCTGATAGGTGCTTTCCAATTGTCCTGCCAACAGTCGGTTGCCAAGAGATGTGAGGCGAGGGCGGCGTCTGCAGCTGGCTCTGAGGACCGGGCGAGTGGGGGAGACGACGGGACTTCATGTGCTGATGCACCGACCCAGTCGCGACACCATGGCTGGTTCGATCACATGGACAAGCACGAGCTGCAGGCGGCCAACATCCTCACTATTGCGGCTGCCAAGGGCTGGTTCAGACCAACCGACAGGTGGAGCAGGGCTGTTTTCGTGGAGCTCGGAGCTGGTATTGAACTAGCACACACACACACACATTTGACGTACAAACATCAAATGCTGCTGCGCGTGTTTCTGCAGGGAAGGGTGGTCTCTGTCGGTGGTTCCTCATGGCCTCTGCACCACACGTGCAATCTGACACGGGCGGTCCTGCGTTTGTGCTTGTCGAGCGCGAGAAGAGGCGATTCAAACGGGACGGGCGAGACGAAACGTAAACTCACAGAAGAGTGGCAGGCTGCAAGGTGTCTTTGTGGGTCATGTTTCGTGTCGTTTGTTCAGGATGTCAGGCGCTGATTGGGCCCAGCGGCGGACCATTCGGCTTCGATCAGACCTGCTGCACTTCGACCTCAAAAGTAAGTCAGGAGCGGCAGAGCATCGCCCATTTGACAACGCCTCCCCTGGCAAACGGGCAGGTCTTCTCAGGCTGGCATGCCTCGGCGACACAGCATCGTTGAACAGGTGGGCAGGGACAGCACGAGTGCCTTACTCACGGGGGCTCAGTGAGCTGCCTTGTCTTTCCAGGCGATTGTGCCGCACCCCGCCTGCATGGCTTACCCGCATCCTCCGAGAAAGGCGCCTGGTCGACCCCTCGGCCAGCGGAGAGGAGCAGCAGCACCAGCTGTACCAACAGATACTCAAACTGGCCCCCAAGGGCCATGGACAAACGGCAGACAGGTAAGCAGATGAAAGAGGGAGGGAGGGAGGGAGGGAGAGGAGAAGGAATGCCCAAGACCCTCTCTGTGTGGTTGCAGGGCGTGGGAGAAGCTTGGTGAGGTGTTTGACGGCTGGCGTGCTAACCAGTGTGTGGGGCTGGCCAAACATCTATGCGGCTGCGGGACAGACATCGCACTCAGGTGACGTGCCACACTCTGTCTTTTGCACCCATGCTGATCGACACTCTCTGTCTCTCTCGTGCTTGTCCTCCTGAAGATCGATGCACAATGCTCATGAGGGATTGCGTGACGCGCCAAGCAGGGAGCATGTGCCGTCGATGCGGATCATTGCTGCTCCGTGCTGCCACCACCGCTGCGAATGGTCTCTCTTCACCGGGAAAGAGTTCCTGACGGACCTTGGCCTGACCAAAGAAGACTTCCCCGTGTTGGCGGCATGTGCTGGGTGAGCGACCGATGAGTATGGGGTCTATGCACATACTATGTGGGTGTGACATTGTGTATGCGGCCAGGTGGGGGACAGGTGCAAAGGGGTGGAGACGAGAGACGGGCATGAAGATCAAGCGGCTGCTGGACATTGCCAGGTCGGTGCAGCAGGCCCAACGCACATCGATCGGTCGGTGCACCCCCATGCTTTGTGTGTGCATGTAGGGTGTCATGGTTGCGTGCACACGGCTACAGCGATGCCACACTGGTGCGTTTTGCGTCCCCCGGCACAACCCTGGAGAATGTGTTGCTTGTGGGGGGCATCGATTGACTGACTGAGGGGTGGGGGATGTGTCTTTGCTGTCGATATGATGCATACACGCAGGGGACACACACATCGTCACGTTTTATCGGACACATATTCATGCGATGGATGAGTCCGTCAGCCAGAATGGAAGAGAAAAAGATCCCATCCCACCAAACAGCCAGCCCCCAAAGCAATGAACAAGGGTATAGCCGTGTGGCTAGGAGTCATACATGCCCAGCTGTCTGGTCGCGCAGTACACTGCGTGCTGCTGATCCCGGGACAGCTGCACCATCTGTCTCTTCAACTGCATGAAGTCCTGAGGGAAGACACACAGACATACAAGAAAGGAGACAGACAATACACAGATACCCCCCAATGATTGTTCTTGTGGTCACCTGCTTGAGGGACGACAGTCGCGCGGCTCTCTCCTCCCTTTTGGCCTTGAATGAGGTGATGCGTTGTCTTGTCTTGGCGAGCATCTCGTCAATCTCCTCCTTGGTGGTCATCCGCTGGGCCCCACTGGAGGACACGCCGATGATGTCGATGTCGCTGTGGGAGGCCGACAGGTGGCCCCTGCTGCTCTGCACGGTCAGCGCGGCACTCTTGGAGTGTGTGATGGGCTCACCGGCTGGCGAGACGGTGCTTTCGTGTTCAGGATGGTCGTCCCCCTCGTCGCTCACCTCATCCACCTGACAATTCAGAGCCATTCTCAGTCGTCCTGTTGGTGTTTCTTGACGTTGTTTGTACCCGTGTGAGCGACTTCTGAGGCGCCGATTTCTTGGTAGAGTCCGCCATTGTTCCTTCAACTGACACGGTGCTGAGTGGAGTGGGGGAGAGTCTTTCACCGCCGAAAAGCGATGTTGTGCTCGGGGGAAGAAGAGGACCTCGTCTCAGCCTCACGTGCCTTCGTGTTGTTCAGAGGCGCGCGGATCGCGGAGGCTGGGGGCGATGATCGAACTCATTACCAATGGACAACAAAATTGGTGGCAGTTGATGCCCGCGGAGCGTGATCACCCAGTCAGTCAGTCAGTCCACTGCCGTCCACATACTGCAGGCCGACCACACATCCAGGAATGCATGCATTTGAGGCAGGCAAGGCAGCAGAGATGAATAGACACACACACACACATGCATCCTTGCCTGCAAGTCAGTCATGATGCACTCGGGCATCCTAATACTACAAAAGCCCGCCTCGCAGGGGGCCAGGCCGGGCCTAGCTAGCTAGCTGTGTGTCGGCACATGCAGGTTTGACAGAGATAATGGCAGCAGCAGCAGTAGCTACAGTCAGGTTGAAACCGCTTGTGCGTCTGTTGGTGTGTGTGTCGGGTCGTCTGAGAGGCCTCATGAAGTTCATCCAGCTCGACAACATGCCGGTGCTGGAGAAGCAGGCGGGTGCCACTTCTCGCAGGTCGGGCACAACATCGAGCATGATGAGAGTCTCACGGACCCTCATACGCTCCGCCCGTCGTCAAGTAAGAAAGACAAGAGTGATATTTACATGTTGGCATGCACCGCTACAGGTAGGTAGGCTGGAGGCAGTGTGGCCGCCGAAGCGCTCTTATCCACATCGATGGCTGGAGCTGGCAAGCTTGCTAGCGCCAAGTAGAGATGTTGGTCGAAAGAGGGAAACAAGGGCCAGCCTCTGTGTTCGTGTGTGTTGTCATGTGGCGATTGTGCTGCCCCTCTCTGCCAGTCCGTTGTCAACCATTCCATCCATCCATCCATCCATCCATCGTCAGCTACCTGTTCCAGGTACTCAAAAAGCTACCTAGGCATGCAGTCGGGGAGACGCACAGGGAAGGCGGACACTTAAATCAGAGCACGAACGAGGCAGTGGTCATCTGTCGGTGTGTGTGGGCTGTCTCTCTGCTATGATTGATGAGGGGGGCCGCAGGGCGGCCAAGAGCGCATTCGCCCTTGTCGTAGCAGCAGCTGTACACACACTCTGACTGGTCAGTCAATGGGAAAAACGGGCATACATCGATGTCACGGTCGGTGGGGTGCAAACAAAAACGTGTCGGTTTTACCCGTCCACCCATCTTGAGGAGCGAAGAAAGGGATCGAGGAGTCAATCGAGCAAAAAGAGGTAGAAATGCCAGCCTACAAACACCATGACCGAGCGGATGCCCTTCAAACATGCATTCGCACGCTCACGCTCCGCTCACGCCAACATCCATCCATCCATTCCCCAGCCCACCATCACCCCACCCACTCACTCACTAGTCAAAATGTCAGCCAGACAGTCCGTCAGTCAGTCTACCTGTGTGTGTATCTATCTGTGTGTATGGATGTGTGTGTGTGTATGGGTGTGATGTGCGTGTGAGCTATGAGTTAATAAACTTCGACGACCTTCATGAGGTTGGAGGACCCGGCGACCTCCTCCTTCATACCGTGGACGGCCACCACGCTGTTGCCCGGCACCACCAGGCCCATCTCCTTGGCCGCCTCCAACGCGTTGCGGATCACGTGATCCGTGCCCTGGAACGACGGAACCTGAGATGGCAGACAGTGGCACACAGGCCATGTGAGAGAGCCATCCATCCATCCATTTGTGTGCATGTGGGATGGGTTGGGTATGTAGGTACCTTGAGGCAGAGGCATCCGCGGTGGACCTGCAGGTGCTTGACGGTCGACTCGGACGCGCTCAACGCCAACACCAGCTGCGGCGGGCGGTACTTGGCTATCAAACGGGCCGTGTAACTGACCAATCCATCACACACATACAAGACACAAGACACAAGACATCCACCAGCCGTCATGGGTGCCTGGTACCCAGATCACTGACCCTGTTTCGGTGAGTGCGATGATGAGGCTGGCCTCGATGTCCGTGGCGGTCTCGACGGCGGCGCTGCAGACGGCCTCGGGGGTCGTCACGGGGCGCACCACCGACATGTGCAGGGCGCGGAACAACGCTGGGTAGTCGATGCACGACTCGCTCTCCAAACACACCTTGGCCATCGTCTGCATTCACACCACACACAATACACACAGGGGGCTGCATGTGAGGATGTCATCCATCAATCCGTCGTACCTGCACGGCCTCTAGGGGGAAGTCGCCGCCAGCGGTCTCGCCCGAGAGCATGACGGCGTCAGTGCCGTCGAGGACGGCGTTGGCCACGTCCGTCACCTCGGCTCGGGTGGGCCGGGGGTTCTTGGTCATCGACTCCAACATCTGTGTGGCCGTGATGATCGGCTTGCCTGCTACGTTGCACCTGACACACACACACGCACGCAGACAGAAAGTATGTCGGTGGTTTGGTTGTGTGTCGGTTGGCCGGTGTGTAGTGTGTGTCTGAGTTACTTGGCGATCATCATTTTCTGTGCGAGGAAGACCTTCTCGGGCGGGATCTCCATGCCCAGGTCGCCACGCGCTACCATGACACCATCGCACTCGGCGAGGATGGCGTCGAAGTTCATCAAACCCTCAACGTTCTCGATCTTGGGAATGATCTTGATGTGACGACCCTACAACGACGTACACGACACACACACACAGTGGGTGGGCTGGGCGATCGATTGGTGTTCCCGGCTTCCTTACCCGTGGTCCGAGTATGTTGCGGATGTCGCGTACGTCGTCGGCCGTCTGGACAAACGACGCGGCGATGAAGTTGCAGCCCTGGGGAATGCCAAAGTTGAGAATGTCGTTCTTGTCCTTCTCGCCAATGCACGGCAACTCTACCTGCACACACACGCATGCACCAACACGACACAACACAACGTGCATGCACACGCATGCATGTGTGCAGATCTCCCCCCGTGTGTGTCTTCCTTGTCTCACGTCGTCTCGCCACGCACCTTGACGCCCGGGAGGTTCATGTTTTTGCGCTCTCCCACCGACGCGTCGTTGAGTACCTCGGTCATGACGAAGTCCTTGCCACACTCGAGGACCTTGGCGCTGACGGATCCGTCAGCCATGAGGATGATGTTGCCGGGCTTGACCGACGTGGGCAGCTTGTCGTAGCTGCAGGCGATGGCCGTGGAGTCGCCCTTGAACGAGTAGTCCGTCACGATCTTGAGCTTCTGGCCCGCCTTGAGGTGGATCTTCTTGTCATCGGTGTTGAGGAAGCCGGTGCGGATCTCGGGGCCCTTGGTGTCGAGGAGCAGGGCGATGGTCTTGCCGGGCCGCTGCTTGAGGGCCTCCTGGATGTTGGCGACGGTCTGGCCGTGCGCCTCGTGGTCGCCGTGGCTGAAGTTGAGGCGGGCGACGTTCATGCCCGAGTCGATCATCTGCACGAGCTTCTCGACGCTCCAGCAGGACGGGCCCATGGTGCACACGATCTTGGTCTTGCGGTAGAGGAAATCCGTCGACTGGCGGGCGCTGAGGATGAGGTTCAGGTCGATCTTGGTGCTCTTGCCCAGGCCCTGCGCCAAAATGCTACTGCCGCTCATCATGCGGTGGTAGCGGAACTCCTTGCCGGACTCACCCATGCTGACGACAACCACTCAACCAATGCACGACAACACAACCCAAGGCAGGCGGTTCAGCGGTGGTGGTGCTGGGCAACAGCAGCAGCTGTGGCAAGGGAGGGGGACGGCTAAAAACAGCAAAGGAGGGGCAGCTTTTTCCCAGCTCGCAAAGAAGTTTCAGCTCGCACAGATCTCGCGCCTCCAATTCTCCAATTCTCGCTGAAGCATGTTGCTGTAGCTGGAGTGCTGGATTAGGCACCAATTTTCAGTCAGCTCCTCTTCGCCTTTGAGCGCGACTCACTTCGTAGTTGCTGGCGTACGTGTGAGGCATCTCCATCTGCTGACGGCAACTGGCTGACAGTAAGCTGACAGGGCGTTGATTCACCGCAAGTGATCATCGGCATGGCGAAGCCTCTCACGAATGCGGATTTCAAGTCCCTCCTGAATGAGACGGACGCGTCGCTGCTGGCCAATGTCGCCGCCAAGAGGTGGGCACCATGACATGACGTGACGACAGGACAAGCATTTGTATCATCACTTCCATTGTCGTGGTTGTCCTGGTTGGTGTGTGGTGCAGGAAGAAGCCAGGTGACGGTTCCTCGTCAAAGGAGCGCAAGAGGCCGCGGCCGTTCAAACCCAAGAAGGACGACAGGTGAGAAGGGAAAGGAGCACGCGCACACATGCAATGTGGAGTGCTTTGCCGCCTGTCTGCTTGTGTCGTGTGTGGCGGGTCGTGCGCGCATCGATCAGTGGTGACAAGCATGAGGAGGTGGATTCGTCGTATGTGGACCGTGCGGCGGCTCGTCGCGCCCAGAAGGAGGACTACAAGCAGGTGGAGACGGAGTTCCAAGAAATGAAGTCACGGTCTATCGACGAATCAAAATACCTGGTGAGTGAGCTCACACGAACAAAGATGTGGGGGCGTACAGGCACAGATGACTGCCTGTGTTGATGTTGGTGTTGGTTTTGGTTTTGGTTGACAGGGCGGCGACCTCGAGCACACTCATCTGGTGAAGGGTCTCGACTACCAGCTGCTCAACAAGATACGACAGGAGATTGACAAGGAGCAGAGGAACCTACAGGCCAAGTCAGCACACACACACACACACACAGACAATTCACGGACACGAAAGCAATGCCTGCTATCTGTCTGCCAGGAATGAGGAGGAGGAGCGCAAGGCCGAGTCCCGTCGACGCCGTGGGTTTCAGACGGCCATCGGTCGATCAGTGCATCGAGAGGTCATGGAGCAGCTGCACCCGCACCACGTGTCATTCAACGACAAACTCAAGCGCATCGACGACAATCTCATGAAGGTGGGTTGGCTAACACTGCACGCACTCCTTGCCTATCGACGCACTTCTGTGTTCTCGTCTGTGTGCGGGCTTCTCTCAGGGCAACCGTTTCCGCGGCAACACTGAGCTGTTCTTGCCTGGTCGGATGGCGTATTGCTTCGACACGCAGATGGACATGGAGGGTCAGGACATCCCCACCTTCATCCATCGCTCAAAGGAGGACTGCCCCGCGCCGCCCGAGGGCATCATCGCCATCGTCCAGAAGCCGATCAGAGAGGAGCTGAACGCCATCTACCACTGGCACGCCGAGAACAGGCGCAAGAAGCGACACGAAAGACGTGAGCAAGCAGGACACTCGTTTCATCAGCCCGATTGTCATGTATGTGTGTGTGTCCGTGTGTCAGTGTCTCAGCGGCCACGAGAGGAGCGTGCATTCGCCCCAAAGCTTCCCGCATCGGAGGCACAGGCAGCCGCTGCCTCTCACGCTGAGAAGCAGACGAGCTCAGCTGCATGGCCCGCACAGCAGAAAGAGGTCAAGACGAAGGCAGCAAACACATCCTCGTACAGTCGATCACCCATTCTGTATCTGTGTGTGTTTGTGGTGTCAGCGCCCCCGTGTGGAGCAGGGCAAGATCTCTGCATCCATCGACGAGGATGACGACGACATTTTCCAGGGGGCTGGACACTTCGACCCCAAAGACACTACCGAGCACCTCAAGGTCAGCAAGAAGAGGACACACGGTCTATGTGATTGTCTTGTTCATCTCTGTCTGTCTGTATGTGTCTGTCACACAGGCTGGTGCGGTGTCTGTCGGTGGCGGTCGATCGTACTTCGATGACACGGGGGCAGAAGAGGAGGAAGAGGACAAACAAAGAGCCAAAAGGTATCGCGAAACAACGGCAGACACCAACGACAAACGATGTATCCTTCTTCTGTGTAATGATGCTCATCAGGATTGCTTTGCCGATTGTGCGTGCCGAGGATGAGATGGAGGTGGATGAAGGCGAGGGGGCGGGTGATGTGGGGCTTGCATCTGCCGCAGCAGCACAAGAAGCCCTCGCCAACTACAGGAGGAAGGAGCAAGAGAGGAAGGACCAGGAGGCCCTCAGGTACCGTCACACACACACACACACACACACATACATACAGACCAAGTGGGCTCAGGAATTGTCTTTGCTTCGTGTCGTTCGTCGATTGCGTGTATAGGGCGAGCAAGGCGCGTGGTGCGGATGAGGATTCGTACATGGAGTGCTACCCGTCCTACAACATCGGCACATCGCACGAGATCTACTATGACAGCGACGACGAGGAGGGCAAGAAGAAGAAAAAGGACGCCGCGGGCGCCTCCAAGGACGAGGGCGGCGAGGACAAACCGAAGAAGAGCAAGAAGAAGGGCAAGAAGGGCAAAAAGGACAGCGAGGCGGAGTGGAAGCAGATTGAATCGGTGAGGGGTGGCCACAGACACGCCCAAAGCATGTGTGCTGCTCAACGTCTCGTCCCCTTGTGTGTGATCTTCGCAGATGCTCAAAGACAAAGACAGGGGCGGCCTCGACTCGTTTGGAAACAAGTACAGAAGGACACACGCAACGCACCCTCTGCACCGATTGACGTGGGCTGTGTTTGTTTGCTTGTGGACCGCTCTTCAGGCCTGACCACTGATGGACGTTAGCTGCTTGTGTGTAAGTGATATTTGTCGTTGAGCGATCTATGTGAAACGGCTGCCTTGCAACCCAGTATATAATATACAGCACGTGGATTATCATGGCACGTCGGCCCTACATGCTCATCTGCCTGCTGAGTTCGCGCGCGGTATGCATGTGGATGCTGGGGACTGAAACTATCGGTGTGGATTAAAGACACCGGACTCTGAGACGCCCCCAAGAAGAGCCCCCGCGTATGAATCGTTTTTTGAGCGATGCCATGGACGAGAGGAATCGCTGCTCCTCGTCAGGTTCTCGTTTAGATCCAGCCTTGGCTAGCCCTCCAGCTGCCGAGGCCAGCCCGCCTCTCCTCTTCGAGGACGGCAGCCGCCTCTCCTTCAACTCGCAGCATGATCCAGTCCGAGTCACCGCAGGCGGCACGCGCCACCTCCTGCACACGCCTCAAGACCCCCACCTAGCCCAGTCAAGCCCGAGCAGCCCTGGTCAGTACACATATGCATAGATCCCACACCTTTGCAATGGTATTCCGCTTCTTTCTGTCCACTTGTGGTCGGCAGGTTCTCCCGGTGGAGTTGAGGACCGTGTGGCGCAGCCATCGGGTGTGTCCATGGACCTTGCCGCGGGTGGGCACTCCCAGCAAGTCGTTCCGCGTCCGCATGGGCTTGGTGATGACGTTTCTGCGCTGGGGCGGTGTATGGAGCAGGCAAGACGCATGGATGGATGGATGGATGATGACATTACTGGATGTTGTGTGTGTGTGTGTGTGTGTGTGGACGCAGCTGGACATTGACCTCGATAGCGATGGGATGGTTGACCAGGCAGACTTGGACGAGCTGTGTAGCAGCTTGGAGAAGCTGAAGGGCCAGCTAGGCACACTCTGCAAGGTAAATAATGCACCCGCGGCCTTGCACTTCATATTGTCAACCATTCACTGTCACTGTCTGCCTGTTGCCTTACTGTCCCTGCTGCAGAAGGTGGATTCCTTGCGTCGTGATCGCAGTCAGAAGTGCCACCCTGCCACAGGCGGCCCCAGCACCCCCCCTCCCCCACCCCCTCCCGCTGCCTTCGCCGAGCACGCGACACAGAGAACACCCAACCATGCCCGGAGCTCGCCTGCCCGCCTGCACACCGAAGAGGCGGAGTACCGGACACACTAGGAGGGGAGAAAGGAGATGAAGGCAGGTGCCTGCCGTGGGTGGGTGTCGTGGGTGTGGAGAGATAGATGTGTGGACGGGTAGATATTTATTGCATGCTGAGGTAGTAACGACATCTTACATACATGTACAGTCAATGGAACAGATGTGTTCCCTTCCGTGAATGCACCACGTGCAAGACATCTCACTTCACGTCTTAATCGCTCTCGCCTTCAGCCATACACATGGATGGCAGACACAACACAAATATGCCGTCCAAGCACGCAAAGGGGCAGGCAGACACGTAGGCAGGCTCTCAGAGTACATCGCCAAAAAGGCAGTTGAAGGTCTGCTTCGTCCAATCTCTGCCACCCCTGTCATAGTCATACTCCCCTGCAGGCACCCGTGAGTGACACACACAGCAATCCATTCACCCACACAAAGTAATGGCGCTGCTGTGCTGACCTGGCCCAGGCGACACAGAGCGCCTCTCTCCGGCAAATCGCCCCGCCTGCCGGGATAAAGACAGCACGCAATTATGCCCTATGATATGCGCGATGTGTGTCTGTGCTGTGCTGTGGCTGCCCCACCGAGGTACTGAATGCCGCCGAGACCGGCGTGTAGCGATACCGCTGGGCAGACTGGGCCCTGGAGTGACACGCAAAAGGGCATCCCATCCATGAATGGCGAACCCGACAGACACATCGTGTCTCACCTGTTCTGCTGCATCGTCCCAAACTCGGACTCATATTGACCCGGGCCGGGCCGGCTCCTCAGGTCTGTACGACGTGGCAGTGTGCAAAGGCAAACGATGCACGAAATCGATGATGGTGCCCACCTGGCGGCACGCTAGAGACATCCCGCAGGGCTGTGGAGAGGAACCCCTCAGATTTCGTGGGTATGTGTTTGGGGCGGCAAGACACAAACGCCACGGGACTGACGTAGTCGGCTGGACTCGGCAAACCTTGAGCACCTGAAGAATGACATGATAGACGTGTGCCGGGTGTGCATGGCCTGCTCGATGACATGCGTACGCTTGACAACTGAAGCCTGAAAGTCGAGCCGTCGGGCCTTGGATGCGAAGGCAGCCGACCGCCGGCCGTCTGCACCCCTGAAGCCGTCACTGGTGCCGTCATACGCGCCTGGCCCAGGGCACTCTGCCTCAGACAGTGTGCAGAATCTCCTCTCAGACCCTCCGAATGCAGGGCCGCCTCGCGCAGCCCGCATGGGTGGGGACGTGCTGCGAACCAGGTTGCGGAGACTGCCGCTGGTGGTGAGGGAGTGTTGGGGTGACCTGCCGTCCAGGTCATTGCCGTGGATGCCGCTGATGGTGTGGCCTGAGAGGTTGTAGGCCCCCGGCCCTGGGGCTGCCTGGCTGCGTCTCCTTGGCTGGAATCGGTCGGCGCCTCGTGAGAAAACGGGACCCTGAGGACCAAACGGAGACATGTCAACGATGTCCAATGAGACACTCTTGTTCTCCCTGTGTCGATGGTCTCACCCGCAGCTCATTGAAGTTTAGGAACTCCCTCTCGACAGCATATGCAGCTGCAGAACAGCGAAAGGCGCGCAGGGATGTGCCTCCACGGCTGGTCTATCTAGCTATGCATGTGGGTCTCCTTGCCTGGTCCAGGGCTTGGGTTGGTGTCGTACCGTGGAAAACGCTCAGCAGATGTGCCTGGGACGACAAACAAGAGGCACCTGACTTATGGAGAAGTGCATTCTATGCATGCTGACCGAAGAACTGGTGCTCTTCGGCTATTCTTTTGGGCTGAATGGTGGGAGGGAACTCGTAGGCCCCTGTTTGGAAAACAAGGAAATGCCACTTGTGAAGTGCACTTGTGAAGGGGAAGACGAAGACGTGGGTCTGTCTACCTGGCCCTGGGGGCTCCAATGGTGCGATGGACTGTGGCTGTGCCAGGCTCTCGGTCGACTCACGCTGACCCCTCGCAGGAGTAGCCGACTCAACTCCTGCACAACCGCGGAGAAAGAAACAATGCCAACAGCCCGGCTGCTCTTTATCTCCCTATCTGACTTCTTTCGAGGGGCCCTGGCGGAGCTCTTCGCGTGCCGGAAGCAAAGGCAGATGTCAACCGAGATGGCTTGACTAGACGCTTGGCCGTGTACGTGCCTGGCGAGAGTCCATGATAGCGAATAAAGGGAAAGGATTCGGCTCTGTATTTGCCCACCTGGTCCGGGGTTGTTGTTGAGGACCATGTCGCGTCGGCCAGATAAGCGAGACCAGTTGAGAGCTGCCACCAAGGGGGGCAGAGATAGCCCACGCTTCGTGTCTCTGTATTGATGTCTGTCTGTACCTCTGTCTGTCCGGATGCGACCTGACGACCAATAATCGTTCGGCATGTATTCCCCCGGACCGACACGTCGCCGGGGGGTGCCGTCCAGCCACTATACACGCAACAGACAGATGACTCACTATCCTTTGACAAGCCGCCGCTCACGTTCTCAGGGCAGGGCTGTCTCACGAGGCGCCCCACTTCGTCTTCTTCATACCCAAAGCACTGCCGATAGGCAGGGATGGACGGTGCAGACACCAGCCGACGCTCCCGCTCGTCGTCGCGCTCCCCTGGCTGAGGCAACAGGTTGGTCGTGAGTGCCACAGTGCCCGACACAGGAAGGTTCCTGCCGCCTTGTCGCGCCATTTCAACCATCCCGCCCGCTCCGACGCCTCTTTCGCCCTTCTCGCCTCTGCGGGGCGAGAACAGCTTGGTATTGTAGGCACCTGGGCCAGGGAAGTCCTTGCCGGCCCCCCCGAATGCCGACTGGCTGTCCCACCGGTCACTCTGTGCGGACAAAGGTAACGATGGAACAAGAAGCAGAGGGAGTGCTCGGTGGCTGACCGACACATGGAAGGCTGCGGCTCGTCGCGGCAGACCGGGGTCAAAGAAGGCAGGACCTGCACCAACAAATCAAGGAAGGGCCGCCCTACATCTACACTCTCGTGATATATGAACATGGCACCCACTCGGCAATTGAGGGTCGTATGTTCCTGAAACAGAAGAGAAGAGATTCATCCACGCACCTCGACCGCATACGTATGGACGCATCACCTGGTCCTGGCCCTCCGGTTATCGGGGACAGCGACAGCGCCGGTGGAGGCTCGTTCCTGCTCTCTGTAGAACCAAAGGGCGCTGTGCTGAGGCAAAACAAGAACAGAAAGGTACCTGGGTGAGCCGCATCTCCCTCGTGTGCTTTCTCTTACCCCTTGAGCCGTCTGTACTCGTGGTGAGCGATGTAAGAACCTGGCCCCACGTCCGACGGCCCTGCCGGCATCATGTCGGCGAGCATCCGCCGCTCAGAACGCACCACAAACGCCATGGGGAATGGGGAGATTGCGCGTCTCGCATGCAGATGGGGGCACCCCCACCTTCTTCCGTTTTTTGTGACAAGTAAGGCGCCCAGCGAGCTGAGCGCGATGCACGACCCCCACAGGTGACAGCGCTGTTGAAGGAGAATGGGGAGGTGTGTCCACAAACATGAAGCACCCCATCATGGAACAGCATGAAGGTGAGTGAGTGGCTTGAATAAAGAAAAGGCACGGCACATCACAGGTCATGCAGGTGTGTGTGTGTCTGTGTGTGTGTGTGTGTGTGTGTGTGGTGTCGGGTGACCAACACGCAGCATGAAGCAGGCACGAGCATGAACAGGCAGAACCCAGGCAGACAACGCACGCAGCATGAAACAGGCACGAGGACGAGCAGACAGC